TTTAAATACTCAAATGATAAGGAATACTAATCAATCATTGAATTGTAGCTAATATAAATGTTTTTTAACCCATTAATATTGATTAGGTTTCGTTAATCAAGCTAGAGAATGACCATGCTTAAGTATAAATGACTGATGTTATTTTCTTTAATGTTAATTGTTTAATAGGAATCACTGGGAAGCCTTAAAATTAATTTGTTTTCTAGTTGGTTAATAGTCACTAAAGCGTAATCGTAATATTATTTCCAAATCTCTAACATCAAGATCTTCAATGAATTTGATTTTAACGTTTGAATTCATGAGTCTATCTAAGCTAGACCACCATTGATAACCTATAAGCACTGGATATCCGTTTCGTCCCACAATCGGACTCCTCAACAGTGCGTATCCACGATGCCGCACAAAAGATTCGAATACAGGACCACCGGTCCCATGCATGAATGCTTAACCTCTAGACCGCTGAGTCGGCATCCAACTGTATTAAAGTCTAACTTTAATTGATCCATGATCTTGAGCAACCCTTCATCTATTGTCTGAGGTGAAAAACTGTCTCCACCAGACATGAGTTGGACTCTACTGGTCACGGTTTCTAACAAGAACTCCAGAAAATCCATCTTGAGGTAATCGCTAGTGAGTACATGATGATTGTGATCAGAATGGGGATTTTTGGAGACTGTAGTTGGATGATGGCCCATCGGTTTAAAGGTTAAACGTTCACGCACGAGACCGGACGTCTTGGGTCCGAGTCCTATGTATGGCATCGTAGAAGTGCACTGTTAAAGAGTCCCATACTAAAACGAAACGACTGTCTAGTACTTTTAGGTTTTCGATGGTGGTCTAATTTAGACCGACTCATGAATTCAACTGTTATAATTATTACAATCTTCACAAATCCCCATTTCTAATTTGATTCAATTGGAAATTTCTCATCTCTTTATGTAAGTTTGAACCAAAAATATACTGCTTAATTAAATTAATATTAATCCTTTAGGATCTTCCAGTTCTCAGAAATAACCACAATAGCATTAAAATTTTAAATGAAACGGTTTGATAACATTTTTACATATCACAAATAAGTTATTTGTAGCATTTTCTTTCTGCAGTTTAAATATCGTTTTTTTTAAAGAGGATCAAAATACCTCCGGAAAATTATTTTATTCGAATTTCGTGATCTTCTCTCTTTTCAGCAATGCGAATTCATCATTAACATAGAATTAAACCGAACATCTTCAAATCACTTTCAAGCTTATACGGATAAATATGTCAATCGACTGCGGTATATTATTGATAATTTTCAATTCACTATTACATATTACACTATATTTTCTCGTCTTTATTATAAGATCTCAATTTGGTTTGATATTAACAGATTGATTGTTACTACTAATTACGCCCTGTTATTTGTTATGATGTTATTTAATATAATCAAATAAAATTATGATTCATTTCAACTTCTTTTATAATAACATTGATTTCAAGTGATGATTGTGTAATCTGACATTTAAGTTACATAATAAAGATATTATACAATGATTCATATCAATTCAATACACAGTTACTAGATTTCATAATCAAATAAGTAAATTATCTTAATAATGCAAGTTTCAATTATAAGAATCAATAAGATTGTTTACATTCAAGATTGATATTAGTTAAACAATCATGAAAATAATGAGTTGTTTTTACTTAGTATCATGAGTTGATCAAAGTTAGGAATTCAGACCATAGGTCTCTGGCTCAGTAGTATAAAAGTAAAGCACTTGCAGTGCAATATGTAGGTTTTTTTTTGAAACCACGGTAGGATTATGGATGAATATTACCAAGGCGTCTCATATTAGAACGAAACAGTTATCAGATGCTTCTTGGTTTTCAGTGGTTATCTAAGGTCAATGATTGGTGTAAACTACAAAAGCTATAAGGATTTATAATATGTTACCGATTAATCTGAGATACAACTGTGAAAGAAGTTATAATTTCACTTCAGTCATGACAATTCAGGTTTATTTTATTGTTTGGTCATTGTTTATCAATCTCGGGAAATCCTCATTATGATTACAGTTAGTTGTTTAATTGAATTGGTCCTAATGATCAATTATTCATTGTTTTAGTAGATTACATTAGTGACTACATAATGGAGCTAATTTTGCAGAAGATTGTAGATGAAGCTTTCTATGATTATCAGTGATTAGTTTGAATATAGATTAGACAAAGATCTATTGGGAAGCTATTATCTATGAGGTCGGCCAAATAAAAGGTGAAGTAGTCACTCATCGAGAACATCGAATAATTGTCAAACCAATGTGTAACTTTGTTAAAATTGGCAGGAGTATGAATCATTGAGCTGTGGAGCACTGACGAAATGCTATCGATTTTTCCTAACAGGTCTGTAAATCTTATTTTCAGTATTGTGTTTAGTTGTAGTCGTGTACTACTGATGATTCCTAGACTAGGTTAGAACGATCATTTAATATAACGGTTTTAGGTAAAAATCGCTACTAATTAAATGTTACATTATTGCACATTCTATGAACATACTAACAATGGATTGTACTCTAGAATAAATGCAAAACTTTTCTATCGTAATTATTTGAATCCATTCTGAATTAAACTAATAAGTCACATACTTCTAATTAGAACTTTCGACAACATGGGTTGATCTTAGTTTAACAAGACTAGATGAATAAAATAAGTTTTATTCACAAAGAGGCTTTTGATAATCCTAAACTTTAATTAAAACCGTACACAATTGGCAAATGAATTCCCTTTTAAGTAATATTACTTCGTTTTATTTATAAATATATCGTACATGTGTGTGTATTGCCATATTCACCACCGTGTGATAGACCTACGAATTATATATTCTAGGCTAAGTTAGTTTTACAAATAAGTAAAGATTAATTAGCTCATTTTAGAGATTAATTTTGGTCACATGATATCTTCGCTTATTCTTTGTAGTCTGAATCTGCTTTACGATGTATACGTAATACGTATAATTGATTAATCGCTAAGTAGTGGTTAATGTCATGTATACCAGATCCTTCCTAGTGTAAATCAAATTCTGTCGATCAAGTTGCATTTTGGCCACTTGTCTAGGTGACTCAACATCGCATGCACTATATTTAGACATAAGATAGTGGTTGATGGTAGTCGACAGGAAACTCTAGAACTAGGTCTCATGCTACTTGGAACTCGTTATCAAGGTCTACCTGCAATGTTGAGAGAACTAATGTTCCTTGGCCGATCCGATTCCATACTACCCTACGTCACAGTCAGAGATGTTACCACTGGGTTATCCGGAGAGCTGGCCACCTTCGATGAAAACACTGAAGCATAAGTATGAATGATTAAAGTTATCAACAAGTGTTTGTATATTAATAATCCTCCGGTAAATACTTAGTCATAAGTATTGTTTGTGACTTATCTCAATCACTGATTATATTTATTTAAAATATATTCAGTCAGCTGATGCCAAAACTACCTTTAATTTAAGTAATAACCATGACAATAAAAAAAACACGTTTATGATCAAACATTAATAATCATATCTACTGTGCATTAATAATTAGACTGACAATCTGAAATGTTGGTAAATATTTCAAATTAATCTATTTTTCTTAAAACATTATCTGTTTGTTAGCAAAAATGGATAGTGGCTAGCAGTGGAATCCAGGATGCCTATTTCGTCCCATTTGGGACTTGTCAGCTGGATGTACCTGCATCTCAGAGTTGATATCCAATCTGGGACTCGAACCCAGTTTGTTTTGTTAGGAATTGTTAATATTATTATACAATCATTTCTTCTTAAACTTTCAAATACTTATCATATAATATATTAAATAATTTTTAAATGATCTCGTTGAAATCCAAGTTATAGCCAACTACTGGTATAAAGTAAAGTTATATATTGAGTTTTATTAGTTAGTCAATTTGTATTATTTTAGTGGTAAGGGTTATGAACGATGGCATTAAAAATATTTGACTAATTTCTAATATGCGTTAAATTAGTAAACGTTATATGAATGTTTTTTACTATGGTTTATTCGAATTAAAGATATTTACGGCGAGACTATAATTTATGGACGAATCAATCAGATTTACGATAATAGGTCTTGGATTTCGGCGCGAAATTCTTTATCCATTTAGCTAAATAGCATTTTGACATTTTAGTTGATATCACTTCGTGATGAAAACCTTAAATCTAAACCTTATCCCTAACTATCAACTGTAAATCACAATCCTTATCCTTAGCACTGGTTTAAACCCCTCATTTAGCCCTGGTTAGTAGGTGGACATTCTCAATGCCACTTTAGCGTCGCTCAAAGGTCGTCAACAAATTACAGTCTCATCATATTTAACAATAAAACAGGTTAATTTAAATTCATTATTCGTAATTTAATAAAAGTAATATGAATGTTGACAGTATTATATATATATATATATATAATATAATATATATATATATATATATATATATATATATATACTTCGGTAGTATAAATAAGATTTACAAGTGATTAGCTCCACATTTTCCCAGATTTATTGAGAGAGAAGTGTTTAGTTCATCAGATAAAATAATAAATTTGCATAAACTGTGGTAACGGTAATTATTCATTTTGTACAATTTCAAAGAAATTAAAACGCTTGTAATAGTTTTTTTATACATAAAAAATGATAAATATTCAATAAACTCAGTTCTTTACATTCTGTAATTTTATTATAACTACTCATTTTGCTTCCGTCAGCACTAAACGCCTAGACAAACATGATATTGGTCACTTACTACACAGTGATCGATCGGTTGTAAATTTCTCAGTTATACAAGTGGTCAATTATGGTCAGGTTAGCTCAATAATAGTGTCTCAGACTGTAACTGTGTTCTCATAAAGAGTATCAGTTATGCCTTGTTAATAACTGTCAGCTGGGACGCCATCTAATATATATATATATATATATATATATATATATATATATATATATATATATATATATATATCACTAACCTGAATTAATTTTCTGTTTCATTGATAGTGATTTCATACTGGTTTCTTCACATTCATCATTTGTACCATTTGTATTCAAAAGATCAGATATAAGAAATGATTTTTGTCCTTCATTCTCCTGTTCTAATTCATCAGAAGTTAATGTATTTAATGGATTATTGTTATTATCAATATTATCATTATTACGTAGATATTCATTTGAATTGTTTACTATTGGTGAAGATGTTGTTGATGATGATGATGGTGATGATGGTGAAAATGATGATTGTTGATTATGATGAATAAAATGTTTCATTATATTTACAATATTTTCATTTTCTGACAATAATTTAGATGAAAAGTTTAAATGTTTTAAATGTTCTGTTTTATTATGGATAATATCATGCATTATATTGTCATCATTACTCTTATTACCGATATTATTATTATTATTTATTTTATTATGCCATTTATTTTCATAATGTTACTTGGACTTATTAAATTTGATATATAACATATATCTGTTTGTTTATTTAACTCCATTGAGGCTGTTACTGTTGTCATTATAAATGAATGGAATTTTAAAAGTTGTGTACAGAAGAATTTATTTTTAAAAAATAATAATGATCCAAGTTGATTTGACTATTTATTTAAAAGATATGCCAATGTATAATATGCGGTTTTATTTAATAAAAGGAGAGTATTTATAGATAAACATATGTGTACATATGTATATACATGTGTATATTATATTTAAATAATTTCTTGAGGTAGTAGTGTAATTTGATTTTTCTCACCCTTTTTTAATGATCATTATTTCCATTATTACCATTATCATCACATTATTATTCTCTTTTTTTATTTGCTACAATGTCATTCCCGGTAATGTCTTCTCTATTTAGTATGAGTGAATGTGGGGGAGGGAGTGAGATTAAATACTTTTTTCCATCCACTTTAATCCTGTTTATAGGGTGTTTTTTTTTAACCTTTAAGATTATGCCGCCTACTAGTTCTTCATTTATCCAATCAAAAGTGTCTTAAAATATATGTATTATAATTTTGGTTCTAAAAAAGTCTTGTTACTGTTTCATTTGTAAATTAGGAATCATCATCAACATTATTATGACCCTATACAGTCATGTATAAAATACTAGTAAATAAACAAACAAACAAGTAAATATTGTGACAGAGACATATTTACACATATGATGAATTATATACAATGCTTATACTATTACTAATATTACCCCCTTCACTGGTATTATTCCTACACTAAATTCTTAACATTTTGATTGCATTACTTAGAAAAAGATCAAGATTTTCTCTATGAAATTAAGAGATAAATTTCATGCCCATTTTTTCTAACAAGTTTCGATAATAATTAGTTAACTTTTCTTTTTATTATAGTCAATAGTGAGATAAATTGTTTCGAATTCTGTCACTAAAAGAAGAAGATAGTTTGATAATAACACAGTAATATGTATGCTAGAAATTAAAATTCTAGTGAGAAGTCGTGACCAGTGGAGTTCAACCAGTGGTCAATTGTGAGATAGGAACTCACTGATGACAGTAGTGGATGTGTCGCTCAGTTTCGTGGATTAGTTGAAGTTAGACACTAATACCGTGGATGCTGGCTTAGTGGTCTAGTGGTTATGTGCTCGCGCGCGAAACTGATGGGTCCTGGGTTCGAATCTCGTGAGGCGAGGTCGTGGATGCGTACTGTTGAGCAGTCCCACAATAGGAAGAAATGGCCATTCAGTGATTTCAAGTTTTCCACTGTGGTCTAGCTTCAATCGACTCATGATCTCAACTATTAAAAAAATTGCCAACTTTTATTATTCCACTTAGATTCATTTATAACATACATATTTCATTGCATAATCATCTACATATATACTTTTTTTCTATTTGTTCAGTAGACAATTTATCTCAAAAAATTGTAAATGAGATAGTGTATTCCATTGTGAGTTGAATTTAATGCTTGAACAGTGAATATACTACTTAGCTGTATGAACTCAAGTTGATGGAGTGAGTTTTGGAATCCAAAAATGATTAATGAAAGATGAGTTACTTAGGCTTTATACGTTTAAATTATCACTTCAGTTTGTGTGTCTATTGAAATAATTTGTCATAATTATGATCTTCTACCTTTACCAGCCCCAGATTTCAAAAAACTACTACTAATGTGCACAACAGATGTCCAATTCCAGTTTAATAACACCACATATCGTCAAGTCGATGGCGTAGCAGTGGGGAGTCCACTAGGTTCAATTATGGCAGATATTTTTATGGGGTATCTTGAAAACACGGTGCTTAAACAGACGATTAATGAAACGATGGAATACTCCATATATGTTGATGACATGTTTATTGTATGTAACGATAAACAGTATGCAATCCGCCTGCTAAAACTCTTCAATAATACTAATCCTAATATACAATTTACTATGGAACACGAACAGAATGGCATGTTCCACTTTTTAGATGTTGCCATAAAACGTAGAGGAGACGTGACAGTTCAACATTCGGTTTATCGAAAAAGTGCCTGAAACGGCCTTTACCTGAATTTCAATAGTTTTTGTTTCATCACTTACAAGAAAGCATTGGCTAAAACACTATTTTATAGTGTAGAAATGATATGTACCACGGAAAAACTGGAAGAAGAAGTTAATGAACGTGGAAAAGTACCTAAGAGATAACTGTCACCCAAAAAAATATTATTGACAAATATAGCAAGCCTAAAGCAAACAAGACAGAAGTAATTACGGTCAGTAAAAAATCAATCTTAACTTCAAAGGTGGTGTCGCAAACACAATCAGTAGGGGACTAAACAGTGCGCTAGCCAGAACTTATCAGGCGGCCAAAATTTTAATTTTTTATAAAACAACATGTTCAATAACTCAATCAAAGGTTGACAAGCACCCTTTTCATGTTACTACCAACTGCATTTATAAATTTACGTGAACCTGCCAAAGCAGCTACACTGGCCGAATAGAAAGGAGGGCATATCTTAGACTTTATGAACATGTTCCAAAACGTCTGGGAACAAGAGAAGGAAAGACTCTAAACAATGCAATTACCAAACATCTCCTTGGTACAGGACCTCAGGTCGATACCTTGCAATCTTTCAAGGTGATTAGTAAGCACCCAAACTCCAGTCTTCTGAAATTTGCTAAAGCCGTTACTGTAGGCGTTAAAAACCTGACTTATGTGTTCAAAAGGAGATGGCTATCAAGCTTTTCTTGCCTTGGTGACAAATATTCATTCGCTAAATATTTTTTAAAAACTCTTTCTTGCATTTATTAAATCAGTGAGTTTTATTTCAACTATATTCCAGATTGGTAATCTTATTTCATCAACCAAGCTCTACTCATTTTATTCTTATTAGGGTTTACTCATTATGTAATCACTTGTTCCTGGCCGTTTAAACTGTTGTAGAATGTTCTTTCACATAAGGTATATATTTACAATATTCAGTCTATTAAATTTATCTACACTCTTGTTATATTATATTGATGTGTCTTCAATACAACTTCCAACCAAACCCCTTCATGTAAGTAATTTAAACCCATTATGTAGTTATGATTTTAAATATCACATGTTGCAAGCAGCTGACGATGATCAGCGAAATAGTATAAATTCATGCTATTCTGCTAGAATCTTTGTTCTTACTCTTTTCAAAACGATAAAGGGAACTCTATGCATGAAATGTCTACTGGTTTATAAATTTATTTGTTTTTTATTAAATAGATTTGGTTGAATGACATCCGTACTAGTTGTGTAATTTGTTGATTATATAAAAGGTGAAATTCCAGGGTTTATAACCGATCACTATAAAAAGACATTTATTTAGTTACTGTTTTGTGAATGACCATTACTTTATGATTAACGATTAAAATACAATTTAGATTATCATAGGGTTGTGGAGATTGTTGAATTGTCATTGAGATCACGAACCGACCAATGTTAGAACATCATCAAAACCTGGAAGCACTGGATGGTCGTCTCGTTCTAATTTGAGACTCCTCAGCAATGTGCATCCACAACCCTACATAAGGAACTTGGACCCCATACCTTTAGTCTTGCGCAAATGGCCTTCCACTGTATCCAGGTTTTCGATGATGGTCCAACATTGATCGGTTTATGATCTCAATAACAATTCAACAACCTTTACAACCCTATACTGATAATTATCGTGTGCTCACAGTGACTAGCTTCGAGAGGCAATTTACGGAGTTTTAGTGAGAAACCGTGACCGGTGGAGTTCAACCGTGTCAGGTTTGAGGCATTTACCCACTGAAAACAATGATAGTCGTGCAATATAATAGGTTGGTTGAAGTTAGACATTAACACCGTTGGATGTCAGCTCAGTAGTCTGGAGGTTAACGTTCGTGTGTGGACCAAAGGTCCTGGGTTCAAGTCCCAAAATTTAGGATCAAGTGTGTGCACTCCTGAGGAGTCTCATTCCAAGATAAAAAACAGCCGTACAGTGCTTCCAGGTTTTCAATGCTGGTCTAGCTTAAACTGACTCGTGAATTCAACTGTTTAAATACCACAATCTCCACAAATTCCCACAATGATAATTCAAGAGAAATAATATCCAAATTTACATTTCGTTTTCTCTCAAACTTAATGGATAAATTTCTTCTAAGTAAATATTAAGAAAATTTGTAAACTAGGAGAAGAATTTCATTAGTGATTTTGGTTGCTCGTAATAGTAGTGTATTTGTTTGTTTTTACTGTTAAATGAAATTACTCATATATTTTTGAGTATGTGAAATCCTCAAATATAAAATCGAAGAAAGGAAATCTATCTTAAAATCTGCATACTAATATATTAATCATTATTTGATAATCGAAACTTCAGTACACTTTCGTTTAGCCAGTATATAATTGATTTAACTTGATTGCAAATTAGATCTTTCAGGGTTTTACAACAACATCGTCCTTACAACACTTCTTTCGAGAATATAAAGTTCTCCTGAATGTTCCATCCCTCTTTTTTAGATGACTTATAAATTATTGATTTTCAAGTATTGTAGCATGTTAGTCATCGTATCTATCTAGTGTGTTAAGATTCAGCTTCGTGTTAGAAAAATCTTCAAATTATTTATAATCAGATAATATAGTACTCAATCTAAAAATGTAGCATAGTGATTATCGTTTGAAACTTGTTTGACTGAATAATGTCTATAACTAATGAATTGACAAGTAACTGAACAAGTTAAAAAAATAATACCAAAAATATGATCATGGAGTTTTAAATAGATCCCCATCAATAACATCATCATTGTCAGTAGGAGCAATATCATAATGCAAAAAGAGAAGTACAAAAAGAATATGAAAGAAGGAAAGTTCCAGTGGATTTATTTATTATTATTTTTTTGTTGGTGTTGTTGGAAGGACCAGAATAGAATAAAGAAATAAAGGTGAGAATGAATATTGTTTCTTTTTTCACCATCAAAATTAATGATACATAATTTATTTTAATTTATGTTTCAATAATAAGAACCAGATGTTTACATTTGTTTTGGCCCGAACAGCTGTTAAATCATAAAGGCTCATAATACCCAACTATAAATATCTGTATATATATATAATTATTATTATAAGACAATTTAAGTATTTATTCTTAATAAATATACGACGAATATGGGTTTTGTGTAGGAAAAAAGATGACATAGAAGAATGTAAAGTATTGGTTGATAGATGGACAAGGAGAGAGAGAGCAAGATAACGAGAGAAAAAAACTCCACTAATAGTGATAACAAAAAAAATAAGTCAAAAAATTACACTGAACCGCCAAAATAAACTGTTTTTTTCTCTATCACTCCTCTTCATCATGTTTATCCGATGTTTACTGCTTCGTGAATACTTTTCTCCCACTCGATACATACTCACACATACACACATTTTCATTATTAGGACAGTTATATTGGATTATTATATTTCAGTTAGCTGCTAATTAATATTAATATGAATAGCATTCTCAAAACCTAGACAATGGACATTTCGATTGATACTTGAAAGTGTTTAGAAATAATTAAAAGGCAACAAATGTAATATAATTCAATGAAGAATTATATGTGAGATAACATGCTGTATAGAAACGCAATAAGAATGAAATGATAACAAAGCATTACATTGAATAATGAATAGTTGATTACGTATACCATGGTTGTCTGTTGGTAGATTTATTTTTTCACGTTGGTAATTGAAAAAATGTTATTCATGGTAAGAATTAAAGGAAAATTACTTGTAACAATTTTTATACTATAGGTGAATACAAAAGATTTAACTCATTATTTTTTAGATTCCCTCTCTATAAAGTGAGTTTAGATAACAATCAAATTCAGATTAGGTGGTCTCGAACTATTGACGTGATAATCTGTCAGGAAAGCTACATTTGACCTTATTTTTTATGTTGTTTCAGTTAGATATATCAATGAGAGACATTTATCCGTCTGTAACTAAACAATGTAGCTGCCCATACCAAGTATCAATGGGAATGTCATTGGACTTTATATTAAATATTTTGAAGATAAAAGTACCACTGAATGATAATTCTCTTCATATTTTACAGAGTTTGACTTTGTATCAATTTTTACATATGAAACACTATTGATAGTTCCAGTTTAAGATAAAACAGAACTCCAACAGCTCTTAGTTTTCACTAGTCCCTCTCCCCTCATTTGGCTCAACCTTCAATGAAAAATAATTTCAAGTTGAACAATTTATGTGACCTAAAAAACCCCTACTAAATATTAAATTCGAAATTATTTAAAATGAAGAAGTAATTTATCAAAAAGAACTATTGGGAAAAACCTCTTTCAAACAATTAGCTTTCATTACTATATCCAGTAAGTTTAAATTCTTCATTTTATTTTAAATCACAAGCAAATCTAGGCTAAACGAAAAAAAGGAAATCTGGGAGCACTGAATGGTAGTTTCATTTTGATATTTTATGTCAGTAAAATATCAAATAATAAAAGATGGCTATGCAATATCGTAGATTGATTGAAATTGAACTGGTACACCATTGAATCCTGGCTAATTCATGCGCGGTACCGGAGGTCTATAGTTCTATTTCTTGTGATGAGGTTGTGGATATATATTGTTGGGGTGTATCATACTAGAACGAAATGGCCATCTAGTGCTTCCAGGTTTTCAATGATTATTTAACTGATCGAATCATGAGTTCAATAAAATTCAATAATGTCAAAAACCCCACAATGAAATTCAATTTCTACTAAATTAAAATTAAAATTGTCATTAGAATATGGAATTAACATGAATTATATTTATCTTGTGTACTTTATCTTAATTTTACAAAGCTGTTTTTTTTGTGTGATAATGTTCTTCCTCAAGGTATTAACACATTAAAACTAAGTGAGTATTTTTATAAATTGATTTTTCACACACAAAAATAACTCAATAAAATTAATACAGAACGGGTTTTTACATTATCCGCTAAGTGATTAAAAATTCAACTCAGAATTGTTGAGATTCTAATCACAAATATAGTTTTATACCGAAATTAATTCTGACATAATCTCGATGTAATATGTATGATTTCATTGACTAATATGTTGTCTAAAGGTATCCTTAAGAGAATGAAATACGATTGCCCGAAATTATCTACAGTAACATAAATATATTTGCAATGAAAATATACAAGATACTTCAAAAAAATATCATATTGATAAGATGCGGCTAGCAAAATGTTTTAAATAAAAGTCTATTATAAAAATGCATTAGATAAAAAAATCTAAACTTTTGCAAATAGGAATATTTATCTGAGTGTGTGTGTGTAAGTGTTCTTAGCCCAAAACATGGGAATACTCCTTGAACTCCTGTAATTAATCAGAAAACTCTACAAACCTTAATATAAACGACTGAAAACACTAGATAATCAACATGATTTCGATCAATACTTTAGGTTAGGCAACATAGAAATCTATCATAATTAGACAAACTTCATCCATCCAGCACTTCCAGGTTTTCAGTGGTGGTCTAACATTTATCAGTTCATGATAGCAACTGAAGCTCAACGATTTCCACAACCCTATACTGATAAATACCATACTGTAGCGAAGACAAGATATAAGTTCGAAATAATTCACAGAAAAAACCTAGCAGTCTAATTTGAACTAAATTACAAATTAAAATTCACTATTGTAATAATCAAGAGTTATGGTTAAATATAAAATGAAATCAAGAATAAACAAATAATTGGTTTCTATTAGGAAAGGGTTTGGTGGAGATTGTAATAATTTAATAGTCGAATTCATAAGTCAATTAAAGCCTTGACCAGTGGAGTCCAACCGGGTCCGTTGTGAGATAGTAACCCACTGAAGACAATGGAGAATGATGGCACGATTTCATGGATTGGTCGAATTTAGACACTAACACTATTGGATTCCGGCTCAATGGTCTAGAGGTTTAGCGTTCGTGCGTGAGATCGAAGGTCCTGGTTCCAAATCCCGAGAGGCGAGATCGTGGATGCGCACTGCTGAGGAGTCCTACGATAAGACGAAACGACCATCCAGTGTTTTCAGGTTTTACATGGTGGTTTAGCCTTCAATGACTCATGAATTCAACTATTAAATAATTGGTTTGATGATATAACTTCAAATTAGAGAGATTACCAACAAAATGATTATCGAAATCCATACAAATTCTTTTTACACTTAAAATAATTATATTTATATATTATATTTATTTTTAATAAGAAGAAACATGGATCCAATGTAATTATTTTAGACATGAAAGGAATCATATCAATTCTCATTGAGTTTTGGGTAAAAAATTTACAAACGAAATAAAAATTTATATTTCATACTATACTCATATAAAATGAACTGTGATAACTTTTAAGAATTAAACAAGTAAAGGTAATCATTTATTTTCTAGCGAACATGATTTCCTTATTCTCATGAATGCATGGATTTCTGTATGGTTGTAAATAGATTTTACTGATGAAGTATAAAAATTATGAAACGTAAGTGACTAAACACTTACCAATTGTCCGTAGATTGACGACAATAACTTTCGTCTTTTTATAACATTATTCAAATTTATTGAAGAAATTAATTGATTTAAAACTATTCAATTGTGAATGTTAATCATCATCATCATCATCATCATCATCATCATCATCATCATCATCATCATCATCATCATCATCATCATCATCATCATCATCATCATCATCATCATCATCATCATCATCATCATCATCATCATCATCATCATCATCATCATCATCATCATCATCATCATCATCATCATCATCATCATCATCATCATCATCATCATCATCATCATCATCATCATCATCATCATCATCATCATCATCATCATCATCATCATCATCATCATCATCATCATCATCATCATCGATTCAAAGGAAAATAATTTCATGATGATCACTTCATAGGTAGGTAGCTCTACCTGAATAAGATGTATTTATGGAAAATTATAATTCAGATAATCAAAAAAATTCTACTAAAATACGATACAATTTCGATCACAGTAAGAATTTTTTTAACATAATATACAGAATATAACAGCAAGTATTTGAAATGTGTGACAACCTAGTTTTTATAACGGTGATTAGATACAATTTATCTTTAATTGCAGTTGTCTTTTTTATTCGGATTATATAACAAACTATTAGTATTGGAAATTTTATGCATCAATCTCATTGTAATTGGACTTCCTTTTTTTCCAATGAATAAGAATACTGCAATATCTTAGTTTTAGTTCTTTACAGTGTCTAAGTGAGTAATAAGGTTAGTCGTTAAAACTAATTCGTCAAGATATGTTTCGTTCAAAAGAAAATATTATCACAATATCCGCACAACTCATTAACTAGACCACCATTAATGCAACATCATCAAGTTGCCACATGAAAGTAGACGATCTAATGTGGTAGAAAAAAATCGTTTGAAAGGATAAACTAAATGAATTTTTCATTTCTTTTTAATTGAATAAAAAAATAGTAATTAGTATCTTTCAAAAGTGTTTTGCCAGAAAATGTATTCACTTCATTGTCAACAAGATTTATACATCGAATGTTATAAAAAAATGACATTGACATATTTTTTTTTAAAAAAATTGGGGGAAATATTTGTAATTTACATGTTGTAACAATAAATCTCCTCATCAATATATTGATAGTTGTAAAGTATACATACATATACATTCAATACATAATACTGGATACGATGAGATTGTAAGTAGGGAGGCTTTTTTAAAACAAAAAGCAGTAACATATTTAAACTGAAAACATTACCTCATCAGTGTGATTTTCTTTGTGTTAAACTAGTATATGTTTGACAGATCCCTCACAGATACACACACACACACACTATCTATTTATCTCTTTCGCTTCATGAACACATTCAACATAACACAGACAATGATTTTTAACTTAATTAATAAGTTTCCCTGTTACATTCTCATTATGTCAGCCAGGATCCTTTTTTAATGATTAGTATTACTGGCACATGTTTGTACTTTCTTAAGATACATAAGACATACATTTTAGAAGATGTACTAACAAGTGTATAAGACATTATTACTACTAACATTATTATTATTATATGAAATATTCCCTTAATGTTGAGTGATACTATTTTGACGATGATGATAATGATGATTCTTTGATGATTATAATCACTATTATCATCATAAATATGTTTATTATAAAAAGTAATCTGTATACAAAATTGTAATTGCACACTAAATACACAAACACATACACACGTATGTGTGACAGAATTTTATGACAGTTTCTTTTCTGTACCCTCATTCAACGGATTTCATCTTAAAAAGAAAAAAAAGTTTTAAAGACAAATAAATATGACAATTATATATATATATATATTCGATGGCGAAGTAAATTTCATATCAAGTCTACATATGCATTAATGGATTTTACAGTTGTATTATTTTAATGACATCACTGAATGACACGTGCAAAAATCTAATCTACGTATTGATGGTGACCTCCTAACATATACATATATGTGTGCATACATTGAAATGAATATTTACACATTGTGAACCAAGTGTGTTTTATGTTATGATACTTTGATTTGATGAGATCAAATATTTTATTCTTAATACCATAAAAGATATAAAAACTAACAAACTAGGTTATATATATATAGACCAAATCTTTACTAAGTATATAGATAGGTAATGTCATTCATTAGACAGTAATAAGAACTTTCATTTACCCTAACTTTAAGTGTATATATGCATATTTCTTGTGAAGTAGATAAACATCTGGTTTATTTATTTACTTACTTACTTACTAGCTATGACAAATTTCATACGAAAACAAATATTTATTTTATGAATGTTTATATTTTCGATTTAAAGTGTAGATTACATTTTGGAAAGGTTTAATTTCATATTTTATGTAACTCAGTTTTATGGTTGCAAAAATTTCTTACAATTTACTATTTGATAGTGATGTGGTGCGTGCTACTTATATTGATATAAGTAGTATATGACGCGAGTTAGGAATGTAATGTCTGGCAGCAGAAGATAGGGGAAGACCAAGAAAGCAAGAGTGGGAATAGAATGCAATATGTATGGAAATGCAAAGACAATGAAGTCTGAAGCATTTTGAGACAACTGGTAGATATTTTGCAAATTAACGATTTAATATATGGTTCTCAGATTTTATTCAGATGCTCTGTAATTTCGTGTTAAGTACGTTCGACTGTCCCCACCCGTGTTCTGTTCACTACAGTGATTGTTTAAACTGGTTATTATATCTGTTTAAAGGTAGGATGAATTTACTACAAATTGTTCTTCTGAAGAAAACTAGAACAATCAAGGACATCTTGCAGTTTCATTGTCAATATATATCCTGATTGTAATTATTAATTGAATAGTTTTTCTCAGCTGATCGATGAATGTGATTTATATTGATATCTGTAAGATTCAACAACTTGTTTTGTATTTAAATGAGAAAATGTGGTTGGAGAGTTTGTGTTGTTAAGTTCAGTTTGTTGTATTAACTCAGTACTTTGAGAATGGGGTTTAAACTCAAATCTAGTTATTAGATGGATATAATAAATTGAGGTAACAGTCATCTAAAAGTTATTAAGTCTAATTCTATGGCAATATGGATTCTGTTTCAACTGTGATAATCATTTGCTAACAAATGCTATTTCAGCTAGTAATGTTAATAGTAATTATTGATATGAATAATATTACTGTAATTTTTATTAATTGCTTTGATAGTTACATTGTGGTGAGTGCTACTTACTTTGACAGATGTAAGTAGTATGTAGCACCAACCGGAAGTAGAATATATACTCAGCCTTAAATAGTTGATCATTGTCATCATTGAGTTGATGTTCTAATTTCAACTTGGTGAATCTAACAGGTCATAGTTTCCTACTAAAACTAACTCGTAGAGATATTCAACGATAATAACATGATCATGATTTATATTGGTGGTTTGTGAAGAATTTGCATAATTTGGTTTTTGACTTTTATCATAAGCTAATTCTAATTAGATTGTAGAGAAAATCATAAACGGATTGGATAACCAGTTCTTTCTTTGTACAAAACCTTTACAGTCAGTGAATAACGTAGAACTTCGTACGTACTTGCATCAGTTTGAGTTGCCATACCACATTAGTACAGAGATACAATTTTCGATTCAAATCCCAATTACAAATTGACATGAAATAATATTCAGAATTTTCTAATCGTATGGTGATCATCATTAGATTTTCTACAAAATCACTTAAAAATGTATCATCTAACTGGAATCGAAAAAGTTTCTTAATGTGATAATTATTTAGGAAAATAGAATGTTCTAACCTAGTTATTCTATAACAAGTATTGGTTAGTTTACTTAAATAATAAGTGAAAAATAATGATGATAATAGTCAGTATAGAAATGTAGAAACTGTTGAATTTCATTTAAATCATGAAACCGATTAGTGTTAGAACACCATCGAAAACTTGGGAGCGTTGAATGGCTGTTTTTTCCCAGTGTGGGACTTTTCACTAGTGGATCACCACGTACGGGGTCGTAAAGAACAATTATCATTTGCTCACCAGTGACTAGTTTCGAGAGGTAATTTTCAGAGTTCTAGTGAGAAACAGTGAGCAGTGGAATTCAACCGTGTTGGATGTGGGGCGGTAACCTACCAAAGACAATGCAATCTGGTCGCTGAATATCGTAGAGTGATTAGAGTCAAACATTAAGACTGATGGATTCCGGCTCAGTGGTCTAGAGATTAGGAGTTTGTGTGCGGCACTAAAGGTCCTAGGTTCAATTCTTATGTGAAGGATCGTGAATGGGTACCGCTAAGGAGTTACATACTAGAACAAAACGACCATCCAGTGCTTTTAGGTTTTCAATGGTGGTCTAACTTGGATCTGTTTCATGATTTTAATGAGATAGTACTGATAGTAATAGTGATAATAGCTTTATTCATCACCGCAAATTTTATTGCAGTAAGGAGTTAGCAATATTGCTTGTGTAATATTGCAAGAACTTTCTCTTCAACATACTTTCAAATCGTAACTATTCAAAAATAAATGTATTTTTAGTAACAAGTATCTTCCGTTTATCGTCAATGGTAAACGCTTATTACCGGTTCTGGTTCAACAACCAACTTTTTTATCCACCAAATTTTGATCGTATAAATTAACTCGTTATTCAAACGGTAGACAAAGAAGAGAAGTACAGTATTCCAGTTTGAAGTTTACATTAGTTAACATCACGGCAGATTGTAAGCCGTTCATAATGCAGCGTGTACTCACGCTGTAAAGATCGATAATTATTAGGTCCCAATCAATTTAAAACATGAAGGTTTATTACAAAACTTTCATAATTTGAAAAAAGAATGACCTAAGCGTTTGAGTAGTTCACTGTTGTTTGAATAAAGATATATATTGGTCCACTTGTTTGCTTGATCAGTTATAGATTAATATTTTCATGTTATAATTGATAGATTAAATAAATAATGAAGAAATTCACAAATTTTTACTACAAAACTTAGATTCTTTCTTCCTTATTCCCCCTCCATCAATTTTATGTATCAGAGCTACGATCTTTTTTTGTTTATGATAGGTATGAATGATTTTTTAATTAGATCTTTTGAAATTCAATATGTAATTAACAGTTCAGTGTAAATGAATAGGTCAATTTATATAGACTCATATTGATGTGAAACATGATCATACATTATACAACTTTTATAAGGCTAAAATAAATCTCATATGGAAATTTTGCAATTCATTTAATCTGTTCTGTAGATTATGGTATAGTAACTTGTTAATTGACAAGAAATAGTTGGTCTGAGAAAAATATAGTTGAGGTTAATAATGTTTATAATGAATACTTTATTCATGGTATG